CGCCGTCGATAGAAACCGAGATGGTAACGACAGCGCCGACGGCTGGGTCGGAGACAGTAAGTGCATGGCTTGCGTCGCACTGAAGCGTGGTCGAGTCTACATATGTGGGCGTCACCACCTCGGTCCCCAGCCTGCAGCGGAGAGCATCTCCTGAGGCAAAGCCTTTGCCGTACGCGCTGACCGAGAGGGCGGTCGTGTCGCAGTAGCCATCCCCAATTTGACAGGCGAACGTGACTTGCACGCAGAGTGAGTCGGCCGTGTCTGAGACAGCGTCCGTCATTGCAGTCGTTGTAGCAAACTCGGACGCAAACAGCGAGTCCGGGTCGGATGCGATGGCTTCGGTGACCGAGGTCTCGATTGAGCTTCCTAGCGCAATGGCGTGAATAATGCCGCCAGCGCTCTTGATGGTGTCTGCCATGTCCTTCGCAGCCTGTGAAGTCCCACCCGTCGTCTGGATGCCATCGGTCACAAGCAGCAGCACCGGCAAGGCGGCGCTTGACGACACCAGCCCCCAGCCAACGTCGAGTCCGCAGGAGATGCAGGAGCCAGAGTTACCGCTGTTTGCACGTGCTGCGATGGCGGCCTTGAGCGATGTGGCATCCGAGGAAAGGCCACTGACGACCGCCGTCGAGTCTGAGACGGAGCAGCTGGCGCACCCATTGTAATCTACCACGGCGATCCGCGTCGGAACGCCAGTGGAGAGGGTGAACTCATCCACCAGCTCCAAAGCCCAATCCGATATGGCGTTTTGCCTCGAGCTGAAGGTGACAGAGTTGTCTAGGATCAGCACCAGCTCCAAAGCCGAAGCGCAGGGTGTGTCCACTGGCGCTGAGCATCCGCTCAACCGCCTGATAGCGTTGTTGAGCGGCGCGGCTGAGGCGGTGGCGAAACCAGTTGCAGCAGCTGTGATCGCCCAGAGCAGATTGAGACCTGAGATGATGCTGCGCCGAGGCAGGTATTGCGCCGTTTCCGAGCGCGTTTCCTGCTCTCGGCGGGCGCGCACAGTTGTGGACCAACCGCTTTGTGTATCTCGAGACCTCGAGAGAAGGCCCCCCCCTCCTTCCGAGGGCCCAAGTCAAGAATTGGCTTTCTTTGGCGGGCAATAATGATAATAATAATGTGAAGCCGAGCATGTAGAGGACAGACTCTCGGGATGTAGTTGCTAAAAATGAGCCCGATGCGTCGCAGTGCTCTTGCGTTTCGGCGGTAGTGATCTGATCACCCGAATACCACGTTCGGATCGCTCCTCATCGCAAACCCCGTCAGCAGTCCTCCTCCGGGAATGTACGTAAGAGCTACAGGTGGAGGGTGGGGAGGCGGGAGGCGTGTTTGGGGAGATGGATGGGGGACCGGGAAGGTCCGGATGGGGGGACCTCAGAGGGGAGGGGGCGTGACGGAAGACTGGAGGGGGGGGCAAGCAGGAAGACGAAACGGGTGAGATCGCGGAATGGAGGAATGAACCGGATCAGACGGGATCAGCGCCGGTCGTAGCGGGCTTGGGTCATGCGTGTTCAGCTCTGTACACCCACGAGTTACTTTGACTTCTGCCCGGATAAAAAAGAAAGACAAAAAACTTGCCGCCCTCCCCTCCCCTGCCCCGCACGCGCCACAGGCACCCACACAGTCCCCGGCGCTCTGATATAGGTGATGCGGCGCTGTGTCTCTCAGATGGAAGCAGGAAGCTTCCATCCCGGCGGTGGTTCGAACCCACACGAGCCGAGGGGTGACGGGTTGAGGGCTGGGGGTCTGAGGCTCACCCATTGAGGAAGTGGGGTACTGCTCCGTCCACCCGGATCCTGCTGAACAAGTTCCTCTTGTAGCTCGATCGGTCACACCGCCATCGCCGTCGCGGAGAGGGGGGACGACACTGCCTCGGCAGCGTGCACCTCGATCCTGTACCGTGTTTGTTATGACCCCCCCCGATGAACACACCAGTGAGGGAGGGCGAGACGATCGAGGGGTCCCGTACCACGCGGAATCGGCCCTATCCAGTGCTCAAGTGCTCAAGAGCTACATACACTGAAAATCTCTCTCTGCACACATACCTCAATCATACGAGTCCAACCATCTATGGTCTATCTACCGTTCACCGACCGTGCCTTGGGGCCCCGTCAGTTGCTGATCTCCAATAGTAGTGCACCTACCGATCGTCCATTAACCGTTATTAATCGCCAATCCGTTTCCTTAGTTGTGGAATGACGGTCATCGAATCTCTACGAACTTTCTGCTCGCACGCGCCCCATGTTCGCGCCACGATCTCCTCAGGCCGGCGCTGCGCACAGCATGGAACTATGCGAGCAGGACATCGCCGCGTGGATTGACCAGCTCCCTGATCGGCCGCCGTCGGAGACCTCAACGCTTCTGCTTGCAAGCAGCTCAGATGACGCCGCATCAGAGCCGTCCCCCAAAGCGGTGCATGCGACCACGGTGAAGGATTATCTGCACCTACAGGATCAGTTGCAATACACCCCCGAGCCGCTATGCACCCCTGCCCTCCTTGAGGAATACCGAGGCAAACTCAACATCGCTATTCCTCGCTCCTGCCTGCGCTGCGGCGCCACCGAGACCCCAAGGTGGCGGTGTGAGAAGACGCTCTGCAACGCGTGCGGGATCCGAGAAACCAAAGGTCCAAAGGATCCCGACCGCAAGAGAAAGCGGAGCGTCCCCGTGCCGGCGCTGCAGCCTTTGGCCCCGCAGCAGATGGTGCGCCGCCTCAAATGAGGTATCTCAAACTGAAGGTGCCTGGCGGCAACCGTGCGCGGCTTTGGCTCAGCTCCCCTGTCTTTGCAGGGCCGACACATTGCCCGAGTTGCCGTATCTCTCTTAGCAGGTGCAACGCGGAGGCCGTCCCGTGGCCCCGCTGCTCGTCAACTCGTCCTCGCTGCAGATCGGCTCGGCTCCCGCTTCCGCTCCGGCGCCAGTGCTCCAGGCCACGGCTGTGATCGAGCAGGACCACCCCGGCTTGAACTACGAGGCGCAGCGGGCGCAGCTGCAAGCTGAGATTCAAGCCGAGGAGAGGGCAATTTCTGAGCTCGAGAAGAAACACAAGATCCTGGCCAGGCTGCAAGCGGCGACTGCACCTGGCGCATCCGTGCCCTTGGCGCGAGTGGGCGCTCTGCCGACGGCGACGGGAGTCCGTGCTATGCCAGCCTACGCGAAGCCGATGCTCCCTCCTCCGCAGCTGCAAGCACTTCCCTCCGACTCCGCCAGCGGCGCCGCTGCCCGACCACGCAGCAACACCTACCCGACCCCGCTGGCGCCGGGGGGTGGGGCCAAAGCGATCCGCCCCTGAGCCGAAGATGCTCGAACGCACGGTGATGGGACTCTTTCGGTGATGCGACTGGCGTGCCGGTGATGCAACGCCGGTGATGGCATGCCAGTCGCTGCAGAGACGAAGGCGTGAGGATGAGGTGACTTACAACCTCACATCACGACCGCCTCTCCTCTCTTTCTCTCGCTCTCGCTCTCTCCGTCTCGGTCTCTCTCTCGCTCTCTCCCTGCTCCCTCTCTATCTCGTCCAATGCCGCCGGCGACGTTTGGGGGCGACTGCAAATGCAGTGTGCTGGCTGCTTGGCGCGTGTGCAGCTTTCGCATCGCTCTCCGTGACGGTGTCGCTCTCGTCAGTCGTCTCTGTGGTCTCTCCCTGTTTATGTAGGCCAAGACTCTGTGCACACCGAGACCGTGCTCTTGTGGCGACTGGCGTGTGGGCCTTTTCCAATCAACGTGTTGGAGAGAGAGAGTAGTAATTATTGCGAGCCGCCTTCTTGTGTGGTATTGTATTTCAGGTTTTCAGGTTTTGTTCAGCGCCACATCCAAGACAACGATGACACGGAGTCTGCAGTCCCACACCGCGCACGGCCACGGGGACAGCCAGAGAGGTGTGTGTGAGGCTACTTGCCGCGCGCCAGAAGCGCCCCGAAGCCGAGTAGCAGCGCCACGTGCCACGCGACGGCCAGGCGGTCTCCATGCACGGATTCCACCGCCAGTGCGGCAGCCATCGCAATTTCGTCAGCGACAAGCACCGTGTGCACGATGGCGGCTGATCCCGCTCCATTGCTGCTGCCAAGCGCGGTAGCAACGCCGTATACGTTGAGGAGCATCAATGAGCCCAGGAAAGCCGCGAATCGCCTATGCGAGCATGGAATCGGTGGTGAGGTGCGGAAGTGGGCGGCGGTAATTTGCTGAGCAAACCGAGTATGGCCGTCAGCCTCTCCGCGGTCGTTCGCAACAAGTTCGACGAACGGCCCAACGCCAAACCCGGCAGCGCCGATGGTTAGAGACTCCACAGCAACCCACGTGCTCATCAAAACCACCTCGGCCTTCATTGAGGGTGAGAAGGTCTGAGCCTGCGACTGGAGTGCTGCGACGTCCGACCTGCGGAGGGAGTCGGCCGACGATCACGGAAACGAAAAAAAACTCAAGAAAACCGTAAAAAAAGAAAAAAACTGGGCCGCAACAGGCACACGACGGTCTATTGCTGCCTCACTCCGAGCATACACATATGGGCCCTCACGACGACGCGCTGCTCGACCTTCCGGTCCTCCCGACCGGCGAGTGCGCTCGGCTGGTGCAGGGCTGGCTTAAGGCGGCAGGCCGGCCTGCACCAGCAGCCTCAGCGAGCGCGCCTGCCGCCGACAAGGCCTTTGCGCCGCGGCCGGCGCGGCTCGGCCTGGGCGCCAAGCCGCCGCGCGGCTCGGTCTCCAGTGCGGCCGAACTGCGACTGAAGGCCAGTCTGGAGCGGCCAGCGAAGCCAAGGCGCGAGAGACCCGCCACCGCCACTGCCGCCACCGCCACCGCCACCGCCACCGCCGCCCGCAAGCAGCCGCAGAAACGGCCTGCAGCGGCGGCCGAGTCCGAGTCTGAGTCTGACGATGAGGCGGCGGGGCGGGCGTCGCGCTTCAAAAAGAAGGCGGCGAGATAGGTCTGTTCTTGAATGAGTGTCACCGAGTGTGTCTCGGTGCTATCGATTGTCGTGCGCACCCTTTCTTCCACTGTGAGCCGCACCCATTGCTGTCTATACAGACGAGTGAGACGAACACTTGACAAGAGAGAGTACACGTAGAGCGCGCGCTACTAGCAGCACACATCTGGATCAGCACCGCGGGGCGAGCAGGCAAGTCACTCAAAGCGTCAGACAGACAGTGACAGATACAAGCGCACAACCACACACACACTCGCGCACACAACCCCCACGAACAGTCTCGACATCATCACTGGCCGTACCGCGTAACGTGCCGACGAGAGAGACGACGGCACGGCGAGACCGTAGCTATATACAGAATCTCCTAGAATTCATCCATCTCCAGTGCGTGCGTGCGCGCGCTCGCAACGCGTGAGTAGCTACTTGCGCGCGTGCGTGCGTATGTGAGTGTGGCTGCGCGCTGTGTGAGTGTGCGAGTGGCGTGTCGTCTCGCGGCCTCAGCTGCAGTCGATGAAGACGAAGTAGGTGCCTTCCCAAGTGGCGGAGCCCATCAGCTCTACGGAGCCGGGCTCGCTCAGCACCTGCGAGGGACACGGGGCTGGCGGTGGGCTGCAGCACACAAGAGATCACAAGACCGAGGCAGCTTGCGACTCTGGCGGGCGGCGCCTTGGAGTAGACAGGGCCCGAGTAGGGGCCGTTCGGGACGCCGGAGCTCACCGCCGAGCGGAGCGCGCCTAGGTGCCGGAGGAAGAGGAGTGTGTGGGGCGCCGCCGTTACCCCCCCCCCCCCCCTCCGTCCATCCCCCCGCCCGTCCCCCTCTGCAGCCGAGGCGAGGCTCGCCGTTTGGCGCGAAGCCCTTGGCCCGCAGCCACGCCTCCTGCCGCCCCTCGGCCACGTGCCTCGCCGAGCGGTAGTTGAGGTGGATGGTGCACGGCACACGCGCCTAGTCGCTCACGCAAACTCAGCCACATCTCGACCACATCCCTCGGCCGCATCCCAACCGCATCTCGGCCGCGTCCCCTCGGCGGCATCTCGCGCCTCGACCACCCACATGACGGCGCTCGAGGCCGTCTTGCGGTCTTCGTTTGACGAGAGGAGGTACAGCATCCCCGCCCTCCCGAAGTCGCCGAGGTCGAGGAAGCGGTACTGCCTAGGCCGGACGCGTGCTGGACGTGTCCTGCACCGAGCTCGGGCGGGCGGCGGCGTCGTGGAGCCGCCGCCGGTCAAAGTGGCACCGGCCGCCGCGGCGTGGCGCAGCGACAGGCTCCAGCGGCAAGCCGGAGACGGCGCGCGCCTGCAGAGAGAAGGTTCCGGCGAGGTTTGCGAGACGGCTCGGAGGCGCGGCTGTAGCGAGGTTGGGTGCGGCGCCTCGACCGGCAAGGGCGCGTGCACCGAGGAGCGACAGTACGGGCAGCGAGGCCGTTGTCCGGGCTGGCGCGAGGTTGCAAAGTAGTGCTCGAGGCAGGCGGCATGGAAGGCGTGGCCGCAGCTGCGGGAGAGGGGAGGGGAGGGAAAGAAGGTGGAGAGGGAGTGCGAGAGGGCGAGAGGTCGAGACAGCGAGATGGCCAGACGGCATTGATCAGAGAGGGCGAGGGTCGGAGGGCCCAGAGGCGAGCGGTGCTGCCGCACGGAGTCTCGACGCATGAGCCGAGGGTTGCGAGGCAGATTGCGCACTCGGCGCCCGAGTGGGTGCGAGTCAGCTGCAGCTCCGGCCCGTGCGCCTCCTCCTCCTCCTCCTGCGGGTCCGGAAGCACGACCAGGGCGGCAAAGGCGCGCCGCAGCCGCGAACCGAAGCTTGGCCGACGCTCTGGGGTCCCCGCGTGCGGCCGCAGGAGCCGCTCCTGTGCCTCGGCCTCCTCGGCCGCCGCTGCCGCGCCGCTCAGCGCGTTGGGACCCTGCTCCTCACATGCCTCCGGGAGGTGTGCAGGCGCCGCCGGCTGCTCGGTGGCATCAATGCAATCGTCCACCTGCGCCGCCTGCGCCGCCTGCCCTGCCACAGCCGCCACAGCCGCCGCCGCCACTGCTGCCACCGCCGCCACCGCCGCCGTCACCGCTCCGTTGGGATCCCCCTCCTCACCCTCCTCCTCCTCACCCTCCTCCTCCTCCGCCGCCTCCTCCTGCCACACCTGGGCCATCGGAGCACTTGGAGTCCGTCCTGGCCGGGGAACCCCCCCCCCCCGGCACACGTTTTTCTTTTCTTTACAATGCCTGAAACTTCCTGCTTAGGACGGCACGGCGCCCATGTTGCGCAGGAAGAGACGCACCTACACAGAGACACAACCAATCTGAGTGGGATGGTTACAGTGGGTTGCGGGCATTTTAAGAAAACGTGGCGGCAGAAACCCAACCAGGCGATTTCCGCAAAAATCTAAGAAACCACACGGCGCGTCGCAGGCGCGGCCCCGAGAAAAGGCCAGACACGAGTGTGAACGGGTCCGAAGCCAGCTAAAGCTCAAAATTTCTTTTTTTTGTTTGTTTTGAAATTTCTAAGAATTGAAAGAAAGAAAGAAAACAGACAACCCAAGGGAGGGATGGGAGGACGGCACGCCGCCACCACACAGGGTTTTCAAACTTTCTCTTCGCCTGCGGCAGCGCACTTGTCACTTTTCAAGTAGTCTGCGGTGTTCTGAGAGAGATTTTTAGCAATACCAAACAAATCTAACACTCACACGTCATTTGGGGCCTGGAGCCAGTGGATGGAGGCGTGTGTGCGTCTTCCCGTCATCCAGAGAGCCGACGTCGGCGGCAGACTCTGGCATCGCCCTCGCGGACCGCAGCTTTAATACTCTTCTTACCTAAAAATCCTTCGGGCCGGCGCTCTGGCTTGATTGAGTGCCCCGGCCGGAGCTAAGAAACCACACGGCCACACGGGTCACGGCGTGGGGTGCGGATGAGGGCTGTGGAAAGGCTTAGAAACGGCGGCGTGCCGCGCAATCCTGTTTTCTTAATGCCCGCAACCCACTGTACGCGTCAGTGTCGAGCCCACTCTGGAGGGCTAGCTCCGAGGTCTGTCTGTCGATACTTCCTCCGACACGAGAGCGCCACGGCGTATAAAAAAGAAAGAAGCTCACGAGTGAGCCGCGCCGGAGAAGACGAATCCGATGACGACGAACCACCAGTGTGGTAATCCCGTCGTCAGCTGTCACGAACTCACGATGCACCCGAAGGGAACCCCAGCGCCAACACCGACCGTGGTCCGTGGAGGTACGAGGGTTTTTTCTTCTTCGAGTGTTCGAAACGAGAGTGGAGCGGCCGCACATTGCTCGGTACCCCCCTGCACATCTAAAGTCATCCCTGCTGCTAGGGGGGGGGTCTGACCCCCCCAGCAGCAGAGGCCAGAGCGCTGCTGCTGGGGGGGGGGGGGGGGGTCGGCCATGACTTTGATGTGCAGGGGGGGTACCGAGCAGTGTGCGGCCGCTCGTGGATGGATCTGAGCAACGACATGACTTGGCGGCAAATGATCGCGGAGTGTGGGAGTCAGAAATGTGGTCCTTGCGCGAGGAGAGCTTGATAAACTCGAGGGGCCAAAATACGCCGCGAGGAGGGCGGAGTCGCGCCGAGAAGAGGCCGCGAGAGCAAGGGATCGGCAGGCGGCGGCGTCGCAGAACGAACGAGGCCGAGGAGAGCGATGAGTCAGAGGATGAAACGCAGGAGAGAGAACGACGAGAGTGAGAAGACCGCGAGGCGGCATGAAGGTCGCTGCGAGAATTGGCGAGAAACTGCGAAGAGAGATAGGAAGAGGCAGACGCCCAAGGGTGGGCGACGGCTAGCACCACACCCCTCTCCTTAAAATCCCTCTGTGGTGGCGACATGCCCTCCCATCCCTGAAAAAGAAAGAAAACACACAACCCAAGGGAGGGATGGGAGGACGGCACGCCGCCACCACACAGGGATCCCTCTCTTGGGTTGGCCCCCAGCGTTCTTCTCTTTTGTGGTGCTAGTTCGTGCCAGCTAGTGGCCGCGAATTCTTCTCTGTCGGCGTTTGCTCGATGTCGCTCCGCCTTCGCTGCTCAGTTGACTCTAAGAATGAAAAGCACCCGACGCCGTCGACGCGGCGCCGTCTCGCTGCTGTCTATCTTTGCTGTGTGCTTAACACTCACGCTCGCGAATGTTCTCCTGCTGCCTGGCCGTCTGCCGCCGGCGTCGCCAAACCCGCGAAGAGAGGCGGCCCGATGCAACGCCGCGTTGCAGCTGCCTCGCTGCCCAACGTCGACGCCATTCCGCCAAGTCCTCAACTCAAGGCACACGCTCCACACCGACGGGAACTGGAGCCTCGCCGGCCTCGGTGACGGGCACCACATTCACATCGGCTCGCTGCTCCGCCACATCGCTCAGCGCAGGATCCAGCCGGTGAGGGTGCCGGCTCACCTCATTTGCCATAAAGGGATGACTCGGCCGTCCGACGCCGCGGGTCCGTTCGGCCTTCCCGAGGTCAGTGGTAAGGGGGAGGTCGGCGGGTCGCTCCTGCTGCCCGGCGGGCCTGCGCATGCCAGGGACGCGTCGCATGACGCCTCGGCGATGGCCAGGCGGTTTGCAAAGGTGTGCCATCGCCTCGAAGACGAGAGCCGGATGGCGCACGCCTGCGTCGGCGTGCCTGGCATCCTCGCCCGCACCGGGTACACGTGGCACAGCGGGTTGGGGGCTCGGTCGGAGGCCGAGACAGGCGAGTGGGTCGAGGAGGTGAGCAAGATGACACGCCGCAACACGCGTCTGCTATCTAGTGCAAAGACACACCGCTGCACGCGATGACACGCGCAACACGCGTCTGCTATCTAGTGCAAAGACACACCGCTGCACGCCCCTGCTGTCTCTAGGCGGCAGGGAACCCGTGCGGCCTGCCCTACCGCATGCTCGACGGCGCGCACCGGCTGTGCAAGTTCAAGGCGGAGCTCCTCCGCCACCACTTTGGGAAGGCGCCGGCACACCGCAAAAGTCCCCCTCCCCCGCTTCCCCCTCCCGACCCCTAGCCTTCTCGCCTACGCCAGCCAAGCCTCTTCACCCTCTATCCTCACAACTCCACCACCCACCCTCACCTCCGCCACCGACACCCTCGCCCCCGCCAGCCCTCGCCGCTGTCAGCCCTCGCGCCCGCCGCCATGCCCTCGCCGCCACCACCCCTCGCCTCCGCCACCCTCGCCGCCGCCAGCCCTCCCCGCGCCGCCGCTCTCCACCGCCGAAGCCAGCCCCGCGGCGTGCAGGAGCTCGAGGGGCAGCCGAGCGGGCCGCGCGAGGAGGGCGACAAGCCGTGCCCGCCCTCCTTCTTCGTCGTCGACGCGGCGGATGTGCTGCCGATGGTGGAGAGCGAGGCGGACGAGAGGAAGAGCCACCAGAGCCACCCCGACTGGTCCTCGGCCGAGGTGGAGCAGATGCGCGACTTCTTTGCGCCGTGGCTGCCGCTGCCGCTGCCGTCTGCCCCAGCGCCGGCGGCGAAGGCGGCGGGGCGGACGGAGGGGGCGAAGAGGGAGGGGGAGGGTAACGAGGGGGTTGGAGTGGAAGCGAGGGCAAATCGGGAGGGGCGTGCAGGGGCGGAGGAGGTGGCTGGCGAACGGGACGCGCTCACAGCTCACAGCTCGCCCCTTCCAGAGACGGCGGCGAGTGCGGGGGGGGCGGAGGGGGCGGCGGCGAGGGAGGGGGGGGCGAAGAAAAGCAACAAGACGGCGTCGAGGCGGCTGGAGCCGGACCAGCTCGAGCTCCTCGGCCTCTCGTACCCCCTCACTGGCGGCGGGGCGCCCTCGCCGTAGGAGCTCGAGCAGCTCCTTGCCGCGCTCGAGTCTCCCGAGAAGCTCTGCTTCCGCTACCACGGCGACATCCACGGCGGCGGCGGCGGCGGCGGCGGCGGCGGCGGCGGCGGCGGCGGCGGCGGCGGCGACTTTGTGCAGAGGCCGGCGCCGCGAATCGCCTGCGTGGACGTGCCGGCAGACCCCGAGGCTCCGGCGGGGCAGGTGGCGGACGGGTGGGCGTCCGAGCTCGGGGCGGCGTTTGGCCTCCGCCTGTCTACGACGGAGAGCATCCGGGCGGCGAGGCGCTGTCGACAAGCCCTCGCCCGCAACCGCACCGCCACGGCTTTCTACTACGCCTACGGCTTTTCGACAGCAGAGGAGGCCGCTGACGGCGCCTCGGAGAGCGCGGCGAGGCGGAGGTGCGAGGAGGAGGGCGGCCTGGCGTTCGGCGCTGTGCAGCCGCTCTTCTCGCACAACGTCCTGCCGCTCCCCATCGTCGCGCTCCGGGCGAGCAAGTTTGCGAAGAACTTGCTCAAGCAGCGGAAGAAGTTTCGGGTCCCGGCCGCCCTCGACGCCGCCGCGACGGCCGCTGCGTGCTCTCTCGAGCTGCGCACGTGGCGGCACGGCGAGTTCGCCTCGTCCGCCGTCACGGAGCGGTTCGAGGGTGCGGAGCTCGGCGCCGACGATGGGGCCGATGACGGCTTCTCGCTCCAGGATGCCCAAACGAGACCCTCCGGCGGTGCCGCGGGCAAGGAGCGCATCGCGCAGCGAGTGCTGGCGGCGATACAGCGCTCCAACCACATCCTCGTCCAGCTCTCGCCCAACCAGACTGCAGCAATCGAGGCGGCGGCCGCGGCCGCGGCGCACTTCTTTGCACTTCCGCCGGCAGCGCGTGAGTGGAAGCACGCGCGCTTTGTACACGAGCGGCGGAACGGCTGGTGCTCGCAGCCGAACCGCACCGACGCGTGCACCGAGGCGGTCCGGCGCTACGAGGTGGCCGAGCACAGCGGAGCAGGCGCCGGCAGAGCAGGCGCCAGCGGAACAGCACCGGAGGGGAGCCCTGCCGCCGCGCTGCTGCCGCTGCTCGATGCGGCGCTGGGCGTTCTGCGGCTGCTCACTCAGCGCGTGCTCGCGCTGCTCGAGCAGGCTCTGCGCCTGCCGGAAGGCTTGCTTCTCGACGCGTTCAAGTACTCGCTCACCTGCTCCGCCGGCGACTTCGCCAACCAAGCGGACGGCGACGACCACGCGCGGGCGGACGCGGGCGGGCAGGGCGGTGGCGAGGAGGAGGCCACCGAGTGCAAGGGGATGCATGTCAAGATCAACCTGTACCGCATGGCGGCGGACTTCAGCCGCGGCCACGGCGAGCCTCCCGGCGATGACATTGTCCAGATTCGGCCGCACGCCGACTTGGGCCTGATCACCGCCGCACCGCTCTCGGCCGTGCGCGGGCTTCAGGCGGTGACGCTCGGCGGCGATGGGTGGAGGTGGACGGACCTCGAGCCTCGCTCGCGCGCCGGCGAGGTCGTCGTATTCGGCGGCGGGCTGCTCGCTTGGCTGACGGGCGGGGCTGTGCGGCCTCTGCTCCACCGGGTCGTGACGTTTGCGGGCGGCGATAGGATCTCGATGCCCCTATTCGTCAAGCCCACCGCCGAGACCGGCATCCAAGTGGCGCGCAGGCCTGACGGCTGGCGCGAACTGCAGCCAGCGGACTGGCGGCCGGCCGGCAGCGGGGTCTCGTTTTCCCACGACCGATACCTCGACTTGCAGCGAAAGTACGAGGTGACCCGATCCGCAACAATACACTGTGCCGCCAAGGACATCGGCAACTGCTCATTGGCGCAGGATGAGGGTAAAGCCCGATGAAGAGAGGGCTGAGAATCTCGGGGGTTCGCGCGTATGGTTACGGCGTATCTCCCAAGCCGTGTGAGCGTGACCCGCGTGGAGCATGCGTGAAAATGTAGAATGTGAAGCGGCCCGTGTTCGTCGTGGAGGTCTCTTTTTGCGCGATCGTACTCACGTACATCGGGAGACACACTCAGACTCACACACCTCACACGTCAGCTCAAACACCTCAGTACAAAGAAAATTCAGCGCTCAAGCGAAGCCACCCCTCCTCGATGCTCAGACTAAGAGCGCGTCACCCAAACAGCCCTCCGAAGAAGCCGCCCTCCTGCTGCCTGCGCAGCTGCTTTGCCAGCGATGCAAACTCGTCCGCCTCGTGCGCGAGGTTTTCCGCCTTGTCCCCAACCTGGGCGAGCTTCTCGCCGCGCTCCTGCGCTGCCGAGAGGCTCTCGTTCATCGCCGACGCCGCGGCCCCCGCCTGCTTGGAGCGGAGCTGCGCCAGCCGGTCAGCTCGCCGCGCCTCCCGCGTGGCCGCCGCCCCCTCCGCCGCGGCGGCGCCCCTCCCCTCGCCGAGCAGCTCCCTCCGCCGCCGCTCGGCCGCGTCCCCGCCCCGCCCGGGCGAGCGCTCCTGCGGCCCCTGCCCTCCGCCGGGCCGGCCCCCCTCCCTCCGCTCCGCCGCCTGCCGCTCCGCCTTCTCCTCGGGCGGGAAGAGGAGGGCGTGGAGCTCGCGCGGCGCAGAGGGGGACGCCTCGCCTCCGAGCTCGCGCGAGATCCAGCCGAGCCCGCGCGAGAGCCGCTCGTGCACCGACCGGCCCGAGCTCTCCCCTGGGGGCGGGGTGGGGGGGGGGGGGGCAGGCGGCGGAGGGGTTGTGTGTGCGGGGTGTCTGTGTCAAACATCCTAGAGGGGGGGGGAACGGCACCGAAGATCGCCGACGCAGCCGCGCTCACCGCTGCCGTCTGGGCCACGAGCGGCGGCGCGGACGGCTTGAGCCGCAATCTTGGGTCGAAGAACGGCGTCGGCGCCGGAGGGGGCGGCATCGCTGCGGCCGCCGCCGCGACGGCCTCTGCGGCCGCCGCCGCAATCTCCGCCGCCACCGAGGAGGGCTCAGCCGGTTCTGCACCCGCCTCCGCCGCAGCCGCTGGCTCCGCTGCCGCCGCCTCTACCACCGCTGGCTCCACCGCCGATGATTCTGCCGCCGCTTCCGCCGCCCCCTCTGCCCCTGCCGCCACTTCCACCGCGCCAAGCTCGCCGCTCGAGCCGCCGACCGCCCGCTCCCCTGGAAGCGGCGGGCTGGTGCGTGGCGGAGGCGCCTCGCCAGCGGTGCCTTCCTCGCCAACCGCTGCCGCCGCCGCCGCCGCCCTCGCCGCTGCGCGAGCCTGGACACGCGCCGCCGCCGCCGCCGCCGCCGCCTCGGAGCCGGCTGCGGCCGGCGCTGCCGCTGCTGCCGGCGCTGCCGCCGCCGGCTCGGGCGACGGGCGCGGCGCGGCGACGATGGAGGAGGCGACGAGGAGTTGGGCCTGCGTCGGGGCTTGCGGGTTGGCTCGGCGGTTCGCGAGAGAGCGGGAGAGGGGTAGGGGATAGGGGCGAGGGAGGGAGTGGGGTGGGGGGGGGTCCGCCTGGACTCTCCTCGGCGTCGGGACGCAGAGCGAGACGAGCACGCGCGGCGACGGCTCGCTTGGATCCACCTGTAGACGTGAAGAGCATCTCTTCACACCGACAGCTGTGAAGAGGCGACAGCTACCTCAGGCCCCGCCTCGGACGCGTCAGGGTAGCGCAGCGGCGCCGAGCCGAGCCGGCGCAGCGAGTAGCGGTACAGCTCGCCTTTGGGAGGGGGGGGGCGTGTCCGGGGGGTGTCCTGGACGTGTCCTGGACGTGTCCCAGGCCAGGCGGTAGCGCGAGGTGGGGCTCGCCCGTCGACGAGAGGAGCAGTAGCGTGTCGGCGGCGGCGGCCTCGCCGTTTGCGAGGAGCTGCGCCCCCTCGCCGCCGCCGCCGCCGCCCCACCGCGCGAGAGCGAGCGACAGGACGCCGCCCCGGAAAGGCGCCACCATCGCGCGCTCCCGCAGCCCGCCGCCGCGCAGCTGCACCAGCCCATCCGGCTCCATCTCGCGGATCGTGCCGCCCACCACGTACATTGCGGCGCCGCAAGGCGGTGGACTCTCCCTCCCCCCCTCCCCTGGCCTCGCCTCCGCGCCGCCACCGCCGCCGCCGCCTCCACCGCCGCCGCCCACGCCGCCGCCGCCGCCGCCGCCGCCGCCGCCGCCGCCGCCGCCCGCGCCTCCTCCTCCGCCGGTCGGCGCCGCGGCCCAACGAATCAGCCGGAGCGGTCTGCACTCGTGGTGCGGAGGTGCGTACGGGTTGACTCGCATCCGGGCGGTGGGGGAGTGCGGGTTGAGCATCGAGTAGATCTGAATCCGGCCGTCGTCATACCCCGCCACCGCCAGCCTGCCCGACGCGCCCTCGCCGATCGACCAGGCGGCGCAGGCGAGGCCGGGAGGGGCAGCCCTGCGGGGGGAGGAGGCGGGGCGGGAGAGAGACTGTTTGGCGGGGCGGGTGGGCGAGGCAGCCCTGCGGGGGGAGGAGGCGGGGCGGGTGGGAGGGGCAGCCCTGCGGGGGAGGAGGCGGGGCGGGTGGGCGAGACGGGCCTGGAGGCTAGCACGAGGAGGGCGGTGGCGGGGAGGCAAAGGCGGGGAGGCAAAGGCCGGGGAGGCGAGGGCGGGGAGGAGAGTGGTGGAGATGCGAGGGCGGAGAGAGCGAGAGAGCGAGAGAGGCAGACACCCTTCATCTGCGGGAGGAGCGCCAAAGACGCAAGCGACATGCGGCGGTGCGCCGCGCGCGAGGTCGAGGACGCGGAGGGAGCCGCAGCGCTCGCCGATGAGGAGTCGGGAGGGCGTCGACGGGTGCGACTCTAGGGCGCAGAGTCCTCCTCCCTGCGCGCCCTGCGAGGCGTGGGGCGAGAGAGCGGTGGGGAGGCGAGGCGGGAGGGGGAGGCTAGGCGGGGAGGTGAGGCTGGTCGGCAGGTGACCTAGGGTGAGGGCGGCAAGGCGCCGTCGGGGCGGCAAGGCCCCCGTCGGGGCAGAAGGGGCGAGAGGCTTGCACGGGAGACCGGCGCACCGCCTCGCCGCGCAGCCCTGCGTGCGGCCCCGACGTCCTCCCGCCGGCTCCATCGCAAGCAAAGACGCGCCCGTCCGACGTTCCGAGCAGCACGATGGAGGATCGAGGCACGAGGGTGGCGACGCTCACCTCGAGCGAATCTACCGCCGGGAGCACCGGTGTGGCGGCGAGCGTCGGGCGCGCCCCTCGCAGCGACCAGAGCCGGAGGACGGCCCGCTCGTGCACCGCGAGGAGGAGGCCGCGGTTGGTGATGAAGGCGAGATGCCGCACGGGGGCAGGCGAGATGGCGGGGAGCAGAAGCTCGGAGCCGCGCCGGCCGAACAGCTTGATGTGGCCGCTCTCCGTCCCGATCGCAATCGTGCCCTGCACCGGATCCGCTGCGAGGCAGCACGCGAGGGCGGGCACGCCGTAGTGGACCTTGGGCGGCGGCGGCGGCGGCGGCGGTGCGGGAGCGTCCTCCGAGGCGGTGGCCGCGGCGGCGACGTTGCGACGGAAGAATCGGTCCATTGTTGTTGCTCGGTGAGCGTCGTGATATTGGGCCGGCGTGAGTGTGGCGGCTTCGCGTGCGCCGACAACAAACTCTCTAGCCAACGCTCTCAATTCGTGGCTCTGTGTTGCTTGAGTCTTGAGAGTGGAGGCGGGGGGCGCCCACGCGTGTATGTCTCTTGACTAGTGTGGGACCTGCGCGCGGCGGTACCCGCCTCTGTTGTTCGGGCAGCGTGAGAGACGCAGGATCTGCACGCGAAGTGTGCAGGGCTCCACTCCGCATTTGCATTTGGTTTTGGGTGTCGGAGATCATCCATCGCAAGCATTGCTAAAAATCTCTCTCTCGCAAGCACTCATCAGTCAGTCACGTCAGTCAAACCCGCGCCGAGCCGGTCTCGGCGGGAGACCTCGGAGCCGCACGCGATGCTGCGGGCGTGCGCGATGGCTCCGTTGGCTCCGTGCCTAAGGCAGATAGATTAGGGTGTGAGCTGCGGCAGCCAGTCGGAGGCCGCGATGGATGGCCCAGGGCCGGCGGCGGTGAAGGCGTCCGTCGATGAAGGGATGTTGTCGAGGGAGCCATCGTCCTCCGCGCGGTGCACCGGTCCAGTTGTCGGAGTTCGAGATCGCAGTCGCCCGTTGACGAACTCACGGAATGTGAGCGACTTGGTGCACGCTGGGTCGAGCATCATGACTCGCACCTCATCCTGGGCGAGGAACTCGCCCAGGGACCAGCTGTTGGCGTCGCCGTTTTGATCGAGCTGCATCCACTGCATGGTTTCGTAGTCAAGCGTAAACGCCCAGGAGTTGGTGCCTGGGTGACTTGCTGATGAGAGCGCCTTCCAGGCGGGTAGTCGTGCCCCTCACCTAAGGTCATACGGCGGCGTCGGAGGGGGGGGAGGGGCGCGAAGCGTGAACATGGAGGCAAGCAGGTGGTGGGCACCTGGCCAAAGCCGGCGACCTCAAAGTTGTCGTTGCTTGTGCGGAGCGTGAAGGGGACCGGATCGGCAGCAGCGCGGGCGGCAGCGGCCGGAGAGGCCGGAGAGCCGTCCGACGGAGGCCGGTCGTGCATCGGCGCGTCGGCCGTAGGGGCCGTGGGGGGCGGCATCCATCGCTGCGGGTCGCTGCGGGGTGCGGGCCGACGATTGTGGACTGATCGATCGTCGGCGGGCGGTGTTCAGCTGGGACGTTCTACGTTAAAAGAGCGTCGGCGCCGACACGAGAGACTTATAAGGGTAGACATACGGCAGGTGAGAAAATTTCTTTTCTGAAAATGTGGCCGAGATGGTGGAACTGGAAGGCATCGGCGTGCGCAGAGGGCAAGGGGCAACGGCAAGGCGAGGGTTCCAACTCTTGGGGGTATGGTACATGGAATGAGGTCACCAGAAGAAAGAAAGGTAACACACAATAGAACAAGCCCCCATAGGTCTACCTGCGGAAAGTTCTGCAGCGGGATGTGCCAGTTGGCGATGAGCGGCAGTGGGCGTAGCGAGCTCACAGAAACTACACCAGCCAGCCAGTAGCAGTACACGACGGTTGCGGGTTTGCGACTCGCCGCGGCCGCGCGGTTCGCGATGCGACTGGATGAGGATCGTGAACGTCGAGCCCCACGAGCCGACAGGACTCGCGAGCTGACGTGCGCGTGCGGCGCATCTGCCATCTCGGCCGCGCGTGGAGGGCGTGGCTGTACACAAGCTCAAAGGATACGGTCATCGCCGCATATTTTGTGTGCCGCTGGCGGGGGGGTGCGAGGCTGTGGTGGTCATACAAGCGCACTGCCCTCGCCGCACATGCTGCCTTCAGTCACCCGTCACCCCTGCGCAGATGCCGAGACCCTGATGGGCGTCTCTTCGACTGCGGCCGCCATGCTCTGCACCACGGGCACAACCAAGTCGCATCCCGGCCGCACGGGTGAGTTACGCACTCTGGGGCCCGATGGGAGGCCTGGTGGTTTACGGCCTCTCTTTTGTCACACTCTGCCGCACCATCTTCCACCCGCGCCACAGGATCAGTGTCTGCGGGTGCGCTGCAGACCCGGGCCGAGGGGGTCGCCGACTATTGGAAGTACTCCAAGGCTATGACCGCCCGCAAGAGCGGCACGGCACATGCAAAGCTGAATGGCAACCTCGCGGCAGACATGAAGAGGCGCGCCTCGGGCTCGACCATGCCGGAGTAGCTGCGCTCCGGGCGCGAAAGCGCGTTTTGCCGGGTGGTTAGTCTCGTCGCGTGCTTGTGACGCGGTGGCCCTCCACATTGTCTCTCCGAGGACACGCGTTCCCGCGCGTAGTGCAGTTTTTACGTTGCCTTCCCTGTCTGTGTATTAGTGTGCCACTCGGTCCAGGTATTTTGTTTGCGCGAGATAGAGGAGCAGGTCGTGCCCGAGTATCAACCCTCCCGCTCCGGGGCTCGAATCTCTCCCCCCCACGGACAGACAGTCCAACCCGGGAATTGGCTACTAGCTAGGTAGCCGGGGCAGTCGGAGAAGGGGCAACTCTGTGTGTGTGATCGTGACGGTCGGCTGTCAGAAAACACCAAAAAGCAAAATAGAGAGAGATTTTGTGTTTTTGTCCAAAATAATGTGGACCGCGTCACACCAATCCTCGCTACCCAACGCGGCCAAAGGATATCAACCTCGAGAATCTCTCGACCTCCTCGAGACGCGCACGCCCCGCCGCCGCCGCCGTTCTGTGGGACGGCGCTGCTCCCTCCGCCCCGCGGCACCGGGAATTTTTTTTCGCTGAAGCGCATACCGCGTTGGAGAGAGAGAGATTTGTGTTTTGTTGCCGCGTTGGTGTCCAGTATGGATTCACAACCTTGTTATGGAGAAGAAAAATAGAATACCTCTATTCACAGACCTTGTTATCGAGAAGAAGATACCTCGTATGGCGCTGCTTCACACTTGCGGCCGATTATGCGCGACGTAAAAGATTTTGCAGTCCTGGTAACTTGCGGTTGTGAACAGGGTCGTTTGGTTATATCCGCATGTTACAATCGCGAGGACGCAATACATGGCACACATTGCGGAATTCGCACTCTACCCTCTCCGTGAAACTAAGAAGGGGATATGGGAGGAGGGTGGGATCAGAGAATCGTGGCCACTGGCCTCTGCTCCCGCCTGGGATCGCCCATTGCGACCCAGAGCTAAGAGAGACATCGCGAAAACCGCGCCAATAAGTTGCTGCCGATAAGTTCGCCCGACGGCGGCGCGGCGTGCAATAATTGCAAATGCACGGCGAATTCGCGCAACATATTTCGAGTCAATCCAATCCGGCGCGGTCGGGACGCACACCAGCAGCATGAGTGTTGCCCTCGTCCCGGCGACCATGGCTCAGATCATCCTTGGGGCGTCCTGTGACACCTGGGCGCCCTATATGTGCAACGGCGAGTTAAAGTTCTACGAGGAAGCTACTGGCTGCGCGAAGCTCTGCCCCGCGATGCCAGCCTGTGAGATGGATTGCCCAGTGAGCCTTGAGGTTTGCAGCTGCTCTTTCATTGCTGGCTGTGAGTGCGGTGAGGCACCGATCGATTTGTGCGGCTGCCAGACCGGCTGCCCACCAGAGGCAAACGGCCCCTGCATGCTGGTGCCCCCGCCCAACCCCTTCGGGGGCGGCGACCCCCTGACACGATTCGAGGGCGTAGAGACGCGCTACTGGCTTCCGGCGGGCCAAGAGGTCAAGCTCTTTGCGCAAGGCGACGTCGAAATTCTCGCGACCGCCGGTCCAACGCCTGGCGCCGACCAAAAGGTGGGCGACTGGATCCACTCTATGCGTGTCGTCCGCGCGAGCAAGACGGCAGTCAGCGTCAATCTGAACCGGGCGGCGCCCTTGGCCCCCGCGATGCCCATCGATAGCTCGCTCCACCTGCTGAACGTGTCCATCGCGGGCCGCACGATGGGGAGCCTCGGAAATGCCACCGTGGACGGGCTCAGCGTGGCCGCACAGCGGGACACGGTCAAGAAGATTGGCAATGCCTCGGCGGAGTCGATCCGGATCACCCTTGGCGCCGACTTTGCGGTGTCCGTCCTGGCTGCCAAGGCTGTCAAGTTTCCCTCTCTCGCAGAACAGGCGAGGCACGTACACCTCGACCTCTTCTTCGATGCGATCGACAAGAAGGCCGCCCGCGGCGTGCTCCCAGAGATCTGGGGCATCGCGCCCATGTCTCTCGAGACGAAGCGCCTCCTGGTTGACCCGTCGACGAGCCCCCCTGCCGAATGAGCTGTTTGTCGACACTTGTCTCGAGGCGCGCTTGCAAGAGTTCTACCCTCTCTACTGGTCCCACGCGTATCCTACCGGTGAGGGAAGGGCTGCCGGCGTGATGCGGAAAGATCTGTGACGGCGGGCTGGTGCCGGTGATTCAGCAGTCGGCTCTAGCGACCGCAGGGTAGAGGACGCCGGAGGGACTCCATGCCTCTGGCCTCTGTACTCTGGGATGATGATGACGCACTCGACTCGACTTGTGCTCCATCGGTTACGGTTCTTGCCCAGTTAAAGCCGTAGTTCTTCGGTCGGTCTACACATGACACATCACAGTATTGCGATACGAGAGTCATGCTTTCTTTTTTTGATGAACTCGGCGTACGCTCAATCTTTTGAACTTTTGTGTGGTACGAATAAATACATAAAACGGACACCCCTACTAGAAGATGCGAGATGGGGGTAAGGCTTTAACAGGAACAAGTGTCAAGTCCCCGCGCCCATGCCGCATGTGCGATCTTTGACTTTGTGTGGTATTTTGGCACGATGCACGTACTGTTGATATTTGAGACCGGTATATTTGAGCCCTCTGTGGAGGAAGACACCGTGCTTTAAACTTTAGTCATTAGTGCGTGTGTAGCTCTAGCTGTAGCCTGTAAAGCCGTAGGGAGGGCCCGTGGGCCCCACCAGCAAACTGAGTCAACTGCCCGCTGTACACAGGGCAGCGACATCAAACGAGGACACAGTCACGCATCCGCGAGCGCGCCACCACACAACCAGGAACAGCCATCTTTCTACATGTACCTGTGGTATAAGTGAAGCTCACGACGAATGGCTCCGGATTTCAGCTGCGAGTCCATTGACGGTGACACAGCCCTCTCCTTGGAACTTGACGCGCTCCCACGCAGCGGCCATCGCCTCCGGGAGTTCCACGGGGCATTCCTCCATCAAGCAAATCTTGTCGTTGAGCCATTCCAGCTGGATCGGCACGAGGCACGCGTCTCGCACGTCGTCCGTGATGAATGGCTTGGACGACGTCGTCGTCGAGGCTCCACTTTCCGATGAGGTGCAGCATCTGGTCTGCCAACGTGGCTTCAGGCCGCGCCGCCGTTCCGACGCCGCCGCCGCTCCGAGGCCGACGTGACGCCGCCGCTCCGAAGACGAGCGCGGGCTGAACGAGAGAAGCAATCATTTGATCACGCTCTGGGCACCAAACACAAAAAAGAATTTTCGGCAATTCACGCAACGTAAGAAAATTCAACGCCCTGTGAGCGGGACGGGGTGCGCACAAAGATCGCAAGGGCGGGGACCTGTTCCTTTTTACCCATCTCACAGTAGAGAGGTGTCCGTTTTTATAGCCCCCCGCTACCCGGTTGCACTCGTGCGACGTAGCGGGGGGCCACAACTACGTTTACGAAAACATAAGTAGTCCCGCGAGGTGTGAATTGGCCGCCCCAGTAGCCCTCTTTCCATGGAGTTGATTTTGCGGCGCGTCCCCAGAGCGTCCAAACTTGTTTGGGCGCGAACCGTATCTCGCAACGAATCTCGCGGCCTCACCGGCCCTCACTTTGACCGACGCCACCGTCCGCTCGACTGGCCGATGAAGAGCGACCCGTACGACGCGCACTTGTCGTCCTCCCTCCTCGCCACATGACGGCCGCCCCCGCCTGGCCCTGGATGTGAGGTTGATAACTGCACTCCAAGTGCTCCAAGTGCCCCCCGACACCAACAGTCGCGGCTCCGCACGCCTTCGAGGTCAGCTCCGAGCTGCGGCCGAGCGACGATCGGCTCGCTCCTTTGTTTATTTATTTATTATTTATGGGGTGCGCACTGTGCCTCTGTGTTCGCGCGGTGCCCCCCACTCTCGAGGCCACTGGTT